CCCACTGTGGGAGCTTTTCTGTCCTCTCAATAAATCCTGCTTTCTAAAAAAAAAAGAAAGTCACTGATAAAAAGTTATTGCACCTACCAGGCACAGTGGCTTATACTTGTAACCCAGCACTTTAGGAGGCTTTGGGAGGCTGAGGTGGGAGTATTGCTTGAGCCCAGGAGTTAGAGTCCAGCCTAGGCAACATAGTGAGACCTTGTCTCTACAAAAAAAAAGCAAAAATGAATTTATTGACCATATAGCAGTAACAAGGCAATATAAAAAAGACTTTAGTTCCATGGCCTAGGGGATTCCATCAGCAGAGAGAAAAGGAGCCATAGCAGGACCAGAATTCTCCTGAAAAGCAATTATTTGTCTAGTCTACATGTGTTCAGAACTGACCAGATTGTAAATTTACAAAATAAGTAGAAAGTCCTGTCTCTGCTCTGAAGGGACCTGCTACCTTGTTAGAAGACAAGACACACTGTAAGAGCTGGTAATGAAGTGCTGAAATTGTGGAGGGAGAAATGGTAGACCTTCTTCCTGGGAGGAGGAACTCCTAGTTTAGCCTACAATGGTCGGGAAGTCTGCAAGAAGCCAGTGGGCTTGCATCATGTTCTGAAAGAAAGGTTGGTATAGAAAAAAAAGAAAAGGGGCTGGGCGCAGCGGCTCAGCCTGTAATCTCAGCACTTTGGGAGGCTGAGGCAAGAGGATTGCCTGACACCGGGGGTTTGAGACCAGCCTGGGCAACTTGGTGAGACCTTGTTTCTACAATAAATCACAAATACTAGCCGGTCATGACGGTATGCATCTGTAGTTCCAGCTACTTGGAAGGCTGAGGTGGAAGGATTGCCTCTGAGCCCAGCAGGTCAAGGCTGCGGTGGCCGTGAGTATGCCACTGCATTCCAGCCTGGGCAACAGAGTGAGACTCCTACTCAAAAAAAAAAAAGAAAGAAAATAATAAGTAAATTAATGAGTTCCTCACTCTGGAGGTATAAGTGCAGACAATGGAGATTTTTGTTTTTGAGTCGGAGTCTCACTCTGTCACCCAGGCTGGAATGCAGTGGCAGACTCACAGCCACCACAGCCTCAATCTGCTGGGCTTAGGTGATCCTTCCACTTTAGCCTTTCTTTCTTTCTTTCTTTCTTTCTTTCTTTCTTTCTTTCTTTCTTTCTTTCTTTCTTTCTTTCTTTTTACATTTTTGAATGTTGTATTTTATTGTGTGTAAATTATATCTTAAGAAGTTGATTTTAAAATAAAATGACACAAATATTTTCTTCCAATTTTCTCTTTGTTCTCTTAATCTTAGCCTTTCAAATGGCTGTAATTACAGGCATGCACCACTACTCCCAGCTAATTTTTTGATTTATTGTAGAGACGAGGTCTCGCCATGTTCCCCAGACTGGTCTTGAACCCATGGGCTCAGGCAGTCTTCTTTCCTCCATCTCCCAAAGTGCTGGGATTATAGGCTTGAGCCACTGCGCCGGCTGACAATGAAGATTTTCATAAGGATGAAAGATGGCTTTAAAGAATTGGTAATAGCTGGGCTTGGTGGCTCAGCTTATAATCCCAGCACTTTGGGAGGCTAAAACAAGTGGATTGCCAGAGCCCATGGGTTCAAGACCAGCCTGGGCAACTTGCCAAGACATCTCTACAATAAATCAAATTAGCCGGGCATGGTAGCACGCGCCTGTAGTTCTAGCTACTTGGAAGGCTGGGGTGGAAGGATCGCCAGAGCCCATCAGGTCAACGCTGGGGTGGGCTGTGAGTGTACCAGAGCACTTCAGCCTGGGCAACAGAGTGAGACTCCAACTCAAAAAAAAAAAAAAAAGTGGTGATTTTATGGTTTTCTGAGATGAGACAGTAGGAAGGGAATAGTGGAGCTGACCAGCTTAGAATCAGGTGGGAGGGAGCTGGGGACTGGGAGGGTTTGGGATCAGCACTTCTCTGTGTTCTAGGTAAGCCTATTCCTATAAATCAGGAACCTCCTCAACCACCTCACTTCCCCAAATACCTGCGCTGCTATCGATGCCTCTTTGAGACTAAGGAGTTGGGGTGCCTTCTGGGATCTGACATCTGCCTCACCCCAGTTGGCAGCAGCTGCATCACTCTTCATATAAAGAACAGTAAGCTACTTTCTTCCCTCACAGGCCCATGCTCTCCTAAACTGAACCACTCTCTGCCTCCTAAGCTGTACCAAGTCTTGTTCCCAGAACCCTAAGACACTGTTCCATCACTCTCTTTCCTTTCCTTTGGAGCCACTCCATATCTCCACTTCCACTTTCTTCCCTCCTCAGCCCACAGCTGACTGCCTTCCATCCTTTCACAGTACTCAGCCATGAAGGGGACCCTCAAGATCTCCAGATGCCCCAGCCTGTCCTCAAGCTGTATGCTCCCCATCTGTCAGTGCAGTTCCTGTCAGTGTCGCTCGTCTGCATCTTCCACTGCTTCATCAGGCTCCTTCACAGTCATGTCTTATTCTCTCCCTGATCCATAGTGGTTCACGATCACCAAGGCTTAGTCCTTAGCTGTCATCCCACTCCATACACTCTCCTCAGAGGATTTCATCTGCATCCCTGACTTCAACCAGCTGCCACACACTGCTTTCACTTGAACCTGAAGGTTATGCCAAACGGCTTTCCTCATGTCCAGTTATTTATTGGACATCTCTACCTCATCTTCAACTTACCAGAAATTGACTATTTAATACATTTCCTCCTTCCTCATGCCTGCTCTTCTACCTGTTCCCTTGCCTTTTTAAAGTTAAGAACACACAACACATATGTGCCAGGCACTATTCTAAACCCAATCCTCGGAGGCAGGTATTATCATTATCTCCATTTTACAGATGAGGAAACAGAAGTACAGAAAGGCCAATAACCTTGCCCGAACCTCATAGAGGCTGAATCAGAATTGGTAGTGACTCCAGAGATGGTGCTCTTAACCACCAGTGCATAAAGAAGCCTTCACTCAGATCCTTATATTATACTCCTTAAATAGCTGATGCATTGACATGGTTCAAATATCAGAGTATACAATACAAAACTGCCAAGGCAAATCCACCTTCCACTCCTGTTCTAACCCACCTGGTTCACATAACCACTCTTTTGACTTTCTGGATCGTCTTTTCTGCAATCTTTGTGCACATTCCACCCTACACAAAAATTCTGTTTACTTTTATCACCCCCCCACACACACACCACACACACACACACAAACAGGAGCATACCACTGTAAACATTATTTTGCCCTTGCTTTTTATTTTATTTTTTGAATTGCGTCTTGCTCTGCCACCCAGGCTGAAGTACAGTGGCACAATCACAGCTCATCACAGCCTTGAACTCCTAGGCTTGGGCAATCTTCTAACTTCAGCTTCCCAAGTAGCTAGAGTTACAGGTGTGTGCCAACATGCCTGACTAATTTTTTTAGAGTTTTTTTTTTTTTTTTTTTTTGAGTCAAAATCTCACTCTGTCATACAGACTGGACTGCAGTGGCCTGCTCACAGTCACCACAGCCTGGACCTGCTGGACTCAGGTGATCCTTCTGCCTCAGCCTTCCAGGTAGCTGGAACCAAAGGCATGTGCCACCACGCCCAGCTAATTTTTAAAAATTTATTGTAGAGACAAGGTTGCACTATATTACTCAGGTTGGTCTGGAACCCCTGACCTCAGGCAATCTTCTCGCCTCTGCCTCCCAAAGTGCTGGGATTACAGGCGTGAGCCACCGTGCCTGGCCTTTTTTTGAGTTTTTGTAGAGACAAGATCTTGCTATGTTGCCCAGGCTGGTCTAAAACTCTTGGGCTCAAGCAATCTTCCCCTTAGCCTTCCAGAGTGTTAGGATTACATGCATGAGCCACTGCACATAGCTGGACTTGCTTTTTAGACTTCATAGTTGGGGAACTTTGTTCCCACATCAGTTTGTAAACAGCTTCCTTGTTCTGTTGACCAGCTACATAGTACTCCATGGCATAAGCATATGGGAACTGATTTCTCCATTCCACTATTGATGGGCATTTAGGTCCTTTCTAATTTTTTGCCCTCTCAAGCAGGGCAGCAATGAACATTCGTGTACATGACTTCTTGGGACATGGAACAGAGATTTCCCTCCATCTACTATATACAACAGCAGCAGATGTCATTTAGTCTCTTACTTTTGGTCTAGAAAATAAATGATAAGCTGGGCTCACACCTGTAATCCCAGCACTTTGGGAGGCAGAGACAAGAGGATTGCCTGAGCCCACAAATTTGAGACCAATCTAGGCAACATGGTGAGCCCTCGTCTCTACAATAAACAAATAAATAAATAAATTACCCAGGTGTGGTGGCGCATGCCTGTAGTTCCAGTTCCTTGGAAGGCTGAGGTGGAAGGATCGCCAGAGCCCAGCAGGTCGAGGCTGTGGTGGCCGGAAGTGGCCACTGCACTCCAGTCTGGGCGACAGAGTGAGATTCCAACTCAAAAAAAAAAAAAAGAAAAAAAAATGACAAATACGTCCTTTCTGCAATCAAACCTCCAAAACATTTTCCCAACTTTTTCTTTCATCACCCCCACGATGCTGGTTCTCCCTACTTGGTTCTGAAAGTCTCAACTCCTCCTCCTCCAACCGTTGCATTTCAAATGGCTCTTTCCTCCAATCTTCCATGGGGCAGAATTCCATGGCTGGTGACTCACTGGACGCTCCTTACCCCTGACCAAGTCCAGGAATCTTTTCTTTTTTTTGGTCCAGGGCAGGCTGTAGGGGTAATGCTGATAAGTCTACTTGGAGTGAGGGGATAAGAGCATTTGGGCCCCTGGGGCTCACCCGGGGACCTCTGTATCACGTGTCTGTGGTCCTTCCCCAGGCAGCAGTTCTGACATTATGGTGAGTGGCTGCCGCAGCAAGGAACAGATGAGTGATTGTTCACATACCCGCAATTCTCCGGTGTCTGGCTTCTGGATTTTCTCTCAATGCTGCTTCCTGGATTTCTGTAATAATCCTCAAAATAGAATGTACTATATTACTTAGAACGACTGCAGAGACCCTTGGAGTAAAATGCCACCAGTTTTCAGCCATCCTCCTGACTTCTACTTGGGCTCAGCTAGCCCATCCCAGGTTCCTTCTCTTGCCCCAAACCCCTGGGTGTTCTGCCAAAATAAATTGGTGTGCAAACTGTTTGGTTTGTCTCTCTTCTAGCGGAGGTGGAGGCTGAGGGAGGCCTCATGGGGGCAGCTAAGAACTTTGCTCCTGCCCTGACTTGGTATCCAATTCAACTCTAGATGAAGAGGAAATGGAAGGCCTCCTATAGTGAAAGCCAAATTATTGGGCATCCTCAGAAGTGCTGTCAGACCAGAGCAGTGTGGGGGATGAGAGAGTTCCAGAGGGCTGGGTTGGCAGGAGGGAGCTTCAAAATACCAGGCATGGCATACACCTGTAATCCCAGCACTTTGGGAGGCGGCAGTGAGAGGATTGCCTGAGCCCAGGGGTTCAAGACCAGCCTGGTCAACTTGGTGAGCCCTCTCTATAATAAATTTAAAAATTAGCTGGGTATGATGGCACACACCTGTGGTTCCAGCTACTTGTCAGGCTGAGGTGGAGGGATCGCCTGAGCCCAGCAGGTTGAGGCTGTGGTGGCCGTGAGTGTTCCGCTGCACTCTAGCCTGGGAGAAAAGAGTGAGACTCCGACTCCAAAACAGAGCCGGGCTTGGTGGCTCAGCCTGTAATCCCGTGCCTTTGGGAGCCCGCAGGTTCGAGACCTGCCTGGGCAGCGAGACCTCATCTCTACAATAAATTTTTAAAAAATCAGCCGGGCGTGGTAGCTCATGCCTGTAATTCCCGCTACTTGGAAGGCTGAGGCGGAAGGATCACCCACGCCCAGCAGGTCGAGGCTGGGATGGCCGGGAGCAGCCACTGCATTCC